GCGCTGTTCTCACATATATATGTATATATATATATATATATATATATATATATATATATATATGCATGTGCACATAACCCTATACATGCATATCGGCGATGTCTCGCCGATTCCAAGTCGACGTCGCCGCTTCCGAGTCCCAATCGTTGCCCTTCACTTGCCCTCGCCCCATGGGGCCGCGAAGGCGACCGCGCTCCGCGCGCCGCGGCGTGGCCCCAACAGGGCGGGGGGCGCGAGGGCGCGAAGCTGGTCGCGCGCGGCGAAGCTGGTCGCGCGCGGCGCGCCCGGGGGGGGGGGGCGCGGGGGCGCGAAGGGAGGCGACCGAGGCGGCAGTCCCCTTCCTCGCAGCCCGCCCCGCCTCCCAGGGACCGTTTCGGCGCCTCCGTCTCTCTTCGTCATCCGACTCCGCCGGCTTCCGATTCCCAGTCGTTTTCAGCTAGCTGCCTCCAATTCGGGCTCCGATTTCTTTCAACGGAGGCTCTACTGCGCTGCCGATGTCCGCCCATCCGGGGACTTTCGAACTTGAGCCAAAATGGTTCTGACAATTTTCCTCCTCGTCCTCCTCCTCCTCCTTCTCGTCCCCCCCCCTCCTCCTCCTCCTCCTCCTCCTCCTCCTCCTCCTCCTCCTCCTCCTTTTCCTCCTCCTCTCTCCTCCTCCTCATCCTCCTCCTCCTCCTGCCTCATCCTCCTCTCCTCCCTCCTCCCTTCCTTTTCCCGGCCTTTCCTCCTTCTCACTCCTTCTCTCCTCCTGTTCCTCCTCCTGCTCCCTCGTCCTTCTCCTTTTCCCTCCTTCTCCTCCTTCCTCCTGTCCTCCTCCTTTCCTCCTCCTTTTCCTCCTTCCCTCCTCTCCTCCTCCTTTCCTCTTTTCTTTCTTCTCCTCCTCCTCCTCCTCCTCCCCTCTCTCTCTCTCCTCCTCCTCCTCCTCCTCCTCCTCCTCCTCTTCCGCCTCCGTTTCCTCCTCCTCCGCCTCCGCCTTAAATTTGGTCGCCTGAAATGGGTACGGAGAGAGTGGGCACAAAGCCAAACAGCAAATGTTGTCCCGAAGCAACAGCGGCCGCTGTTTGGCAGGCGGCGTTCTGTTTCAAATGGGCACAATATCCGCGGCGACGCCGACAGCGAATCTTGTTCAAAATGAACAAAAGCTGCTGTCGGTCTTTGTACCCATTCTTTCCGTACCCATGTCGGTCGTCCCGATCCAAGAGCCTCTCCCGCGGCGAGGAAGCCTCCTCGGAAGTCGATGCTGCGCGCTGCGTCGTTCCAGCGCCAAGCGTAGCCTTTCTCGGTATGATTCCGCCGACCCCCACCCCCATCCCCATCCAGACCCCCACCATCCCACCACCCCCGTCGGGGGATGCACCCCTCGAGGCCCGACGGACGGCAGCGGCCCACAGCCCCATCCAGGGGGGGGGGGTGGAGGGGAAATCGGCCAGGGCGGCCGAGACTACGCCCAGGGGGGGAATAGAGGAACGACTAATGACATAAACATAAACACTCACAGGTCCGCGCAGATTTTTCAGATCGGCGCTGGACCCCCCTCCCTTCCTCCCTGGCGCGCGGAGCCCGCCAGAGGGGGTCCAGCGCGGATCCGAGAAATCCGCGCGGACCTCCGAGTTTTTCTGTTTATGTCATTCTTCGTTCCCCCAGAGAAGGGTCGGCCAGACGATGCTCAGAGTCAAACCCTCCCAGGTCCGGGTCCAGGCTTGCGTCCTCGCCCCGCCCCGTGGCTAGACGATGCTCAGAGTCAGGTCCTCCCAGAGCCGGGTCCAGGCTTGCCGCCCTCGCTTGCCGCCCCGCGTGTCTCGGGAGAGGGCTCGCCCCGCAGGCTCGGCCAGCAGCGCGTCGGCGGCGGGTGGCGGGGGGGGGGTAGGACAGGGAAGGGGGACACGGCACCCATACCGCTGTACAGTGTGGGCGCGCAGCAAGAAACCATATGCTGTTCGCCAGGGTATCCAGGGTTTTTTCGCTCCTCGCGCTGCGCGGTGACTTCCCGCAGCCGTTGGAGGAGCTGCTGCGTTCAGGGTGCTCCGGGTTTCCCCTCAGGTGCTCCTCGCGCACGGGTTCTCAGGGTTGGGTTTCTTGTGAGGGTTTCTTGCGGCCGCGCCCGCACTGTATTGGGCCTCCTGGGAAGCCCTCGCCGCCACGGCTGAATTCGCCTCGAAATCCAAGGGGCCGTTCGATGTCCGTCAATGGGGAGCCTGGGTCGGCGACATTGGGATCAGCTTTCCCTGCATGTGGACCGCGTTTGTACCGCAGACGGCCCCTCCTGGTCCTCCTCGCCCGTCCTCGTGCCTGCTCCCCCTCGTTGCTTTTTCTTCCCCCATCCTCGCCGCCCCTATGAAGCGGCGACTCCAGTCCAACGCCAGTCCAAAATGTTGTCCGCTTCGATTCCAAACCAGGCCCGGACCGGGCAGCACCGATGGCCACGTGGGCTTCTTATGGAACTGCAACAGACACCCAAGTCCGTTGCAGCGAAAGCCCATGCGAAGAAACACCCCGCTCGCCTCCAGGGTGCCCGGGGTTTCTTGGGTTCCCGTGGTTTTGCTGTGGAGACCGTGACGCTCCCACACCAGAAATCAGTGGACGTCCTGGGGTCTCAGGGTAGGGTTTCTTGTGGAAGGTTTCTTGTGGTCGGGGCCCTAAAGTATTTTTCGGCTGGCGTGCAGCCACCTGCCCTGGGCGTAACCCCAGCATGCTGATACTACCTGTGTGCGCCCCCCCCCCCCAGGGGGCGACGCGCGCACCGAGGAATCTCATAAGATACGTATACGCGTCGTGGTGGGCGCTTTCTGGCCACACTGCTCGGTAAACGATCTCTCAGTGGAAGGTTTCTTGTGGTCGCAGCAGCAGCAGCAGCAGCAGCAGCAGCTTTGGGCTGCGCTGCTGTGTCTGTACCCCCCTTCTTCCCCCTCCCTTTCCCCTCCTCGCCGCAGGGCTTCTTCGCGCTTGTAATAGTGGGAGGTTTCTTGTGGTCGGGCCCCTACCCGATGTCGTGTTTTTTTCGATACGGGGTCCCCAGAAGTCTCGACCCATTCCCCCGGACAGGCTTTCGTCCCGAGCCGTTCTGTTGACGGTCCCAGGGCCCGGCGAGGGCCGCTATGAGGCCGAAGCTCGAGTAAGACCTCCGTCTTGATTTTTTTTCAATGCGTCGGAGGTCTGGGTATACTGTGAACGATGCCCCTCCCTCCCCTGACCTTCCAGAGAGTTGCGTTTTAGCACTGGAGACCTAAAATTCCTAACAAGCTGAGCGAGACAGCCTAAAACCAAGACGTAGCATAGCTCTGGGATCGGCTTTTACGTCGGGCGTCATTTTTCAGCCCTCCTGGAGGGTCAGGGTTGTGAACGATGCCCCTCCCTCAGGAGGGCCCTCGCCCCCCCTGCCGCAGGCCCCGCGCGCCGCCCGGCGGCCCGGCGGCGCCGCCGCGGCCGCCGCCGCGGCGGGCGCCGCGGCGGGCGCCCCGGGGCCGCCGGCGCCCGGCCGCAGGGCCGCCTGGAGCGCCTTCGTGGCCGCGGGCCCCGGGAGGCGGGCGTCCCGGACCTTCCAGGAGGGCCATAGGAAAGAGCACCCGGCTCAAAAAACCTATCCCGGAGCCGTGCCACGTCCTGGTTTATACGCCGGTTCGCGCCGCTTTTTGTTTTTAGGTGTTTTGGGTCTCCAGTGCTAAGACATGGCTCTCGGGGGGGCCGGCTTTTTTTGTTCCTCCCCCGGGGCGAGGAGCTCGGTGAGGAGGGGAAGGAACACACAGACACAAGTCATCGTCGGCTTGTTTTTTCCTCCCCCGGGCGAGGATCTCGGTCAGGAGGGGAAGGAACACTCAGACACAAGTCATCGTCGGCTTGTTTTTTCCTCCCCCGGGGCGAGGATCTCGGTGAGGAGGGGAAGGAACACTCAGACACAAGTCATCGTCGGTTTTTTGTTTCTCCCCCGGGCGAGGATCTCGGTCAGGAGGGGAAGGAGCACCAAGACACGAGTCATCGTCGGTTTTTTTGTTCCTCCCCCGGGCGAGGAGCTCGGTGAGGAGGGGAAGGTCGACACAATTCATCGTCGTTTTTTTTTTTTTTCCCCTCCCCCGGGCGAGGATCTCGGTCAGGAGGGGAAGGAACTCAGACACAATTCAAGGCCGGCTTTTTTTCCCTCCCCCGGGCGAGGATCTCGGTCGGGAGGGGAAGGAACACAGAGACACAATTCATCGTCGATTCCACAGGGGATACGGGAAAAGAGGGGAAGTGGGGGGGGGAAGACGAAGCCCCCCAAAATATGGGAAATATGGGGAATCATGTTATTTGTGTGATTTTTGTTTTTTTTTTTTTTTGTGTGTGTGTGTGTGTGTGTGTGTGTGTGTGTGTGTGTGTGTGTGTCAGGGCCCCTTCACTCGGGCCGAACGAAAGGGGGCGATTGGAAAATGGGCAGGTACGAAATCTGCTGCACGCAGCTGGTTTCCCAGATCTCCAGCGCATTGAAAGAATCAAGACGGAGGTTTTTCCTCGATTGTCGGCCTCTACAGGCTTCCCGGGCCCCGGGACCGTCAACAAAACGACTCAGGATGAAAAGCCGGTCCTGGGAGTGGCTCGAAACTTCCAGGGATCCCGTACTGAAAAAATCACGACATCGGCCCCACCGAGGAGCCCATTCCTCGATGCATGGGCGCCTCCCGGCGCCGGGAGGCGCCGGGAGAGTCAGCTATACGTGAGCGATTCTCAACCCCCCGTTTGTTATCCTCCCCTCTCGCCCAGCCCGAGAATCGAAGATGAACAAACGACCTAAACATGAATTTCTGGCGTCCCCACGCGGATTTCTTGGATCCGCGTCGGGCCCCCCCTGGCGGCGCCTCGGGCGCCGCCCCTGGGGTCCAGCGCAGATCCAAGACATCCGCGCGGAGCGCCAAAAGTTTATGTTTATGCCGTGTTTCGTCCCCGCGGCGAAGACGTTCCCAGACATGCTCGTGTCGGAAGTAGAAATCCTGACATGAGGTTTTGTCGTTATGTTCGGCCTGTCGGCGATCCTGACCTAGTCATGCGACCTGCATGTTTTTTTGTTCGGGGGCAACAATGCCGTCGGAAGAGTCTTGCGTCCTCTCGGGTGTCCTGTCCAAGCAGGTCCGACTGCACGATTGACATTGATGTTCCTCCTTTTCTCCCAGATTGGCGGTTATTCTGAGGCGGGATTAGAGAATTGGCAAGTCGGTTTACGCCAACATCGGCCCGCTCGTCGAATATGGACAGACACGTTGGATGTTCCGTAGATTCGACGAGAAAACTCTGGGGTAAATCTATACTTCGGTCGATCTTCTACTCGACCTCTCGGTCTCCTAGATGGGGTTCGAGCGGATGGGGTCGGGGGATCGCGCCCCGTCGCCCATGTATCGGCGACGCCAGTGCGGCTCGACGAGGAGCCACAGTTTCGTCGCGCCGACGTCGCCGATGCATCGCCGATGCATGGCCGATGCCTCGCCGATGCATCGCTGCTGCGGTGCAATCCTCCGAACCCGTCTGGTAGGATGCCCCTCTAAGCGCGGAGAGGGGGCCGCCACCCCCGCTGACGTCCCCGGACCGACCCCCGGCAGGGACTGCGGCCGCGCGCCGAGGTCGCGGCGCGCCGACGAGGCGAGGTGGACCCCCGTTGAGGGGGGGGGGGGGCGCGGGCCCCCCCTGTGCTCCTCGCGAAACTCGGAGCGCGGAGAGGTCGGGCACGAAGGCCGACATCGGTCCCTGTCAGTCTGGTCCTGTGGCAGCTCATGGGAGCCTCCCGTGCGATCGTGTCGGTTCTTGCGAGCCGACGCGAGATCGACGCAGCATCGACGCTGGCCGAGGCCAAATCGGCGCCGTCTCATCGACTCCAGAAGCTAGTCAACGCCAACAGACGGAATTGAGAGGGTATACCAGGCCCCCGTGCCTTGCCACCGAAACTAGGGACGGGTTTCGGCGTCGGTGCCGCCGCGGACGTTGCCCCTTGGAGGCAGAAGGCCGCCTGCCCAGCAGCGGCCGCGGTCGATTGTTTTGGGGGGGGCGACACCTCGTGGTTGGGCATCGCGCTCCTGTTTGTCCGTGCCCGCTCCGGGCGCCCAGAGAGGCTCGGGCCGGACGAAAGGGGGGGATTGGGAAAGGGGGGGTTGCGAAATCTGCTGCATGCAGCTGGTTTCGGCCCCACCGAATGGCCCATTCCTCGATACATCTAGCCGCCTCCGGCGCCGAGAGGCGCCGGGAAAATCAGCTGAGCTTGTTTTTGTTTTTGACTCTGGCAAGTTTACTTGCATGGACCGGGGGGGGGCTGAGCCTGAAGCAAGCCGCAAACGACTTGCACGTTCGGGGGGGGCGCGGAAATCACGCAAGTCGAACGGCACTTGCACGCCAGTACTCGCTTGAAGAGGGGCGAGGGGGGGGGGGGGGGGGGGGGAACGTCGCTGCAAGTAAACTTGCCCGAATCCAAAAAAAAACAGGCTCCTGTCTGAGCTGATTCTCACCCCCCCCCCCTTGGCTAACCCCCCTTTCGGACGGCCCGAGAGGCCGGCCGGGGGCGCCCTGGGCGCGTTCGTGGCGGTGGAGGCCGCGCCGACGCCGCGGCAGCGCGCGCCCCTGGTCTCAAGAGGGGGAAAAACACACAGACACAATTAATCCTCGATTCCCCAGAAAATACGGTAAACTATGGGCAGTGGGGGGGAAGACAAAAACCCAGAAATATGGGAAACTATGGGGGATAGTTTTATTTGTGTGTATTTGTTTGTGTGTCCTGGGGCCCCTTCACTGGTGCCCAGGGGTGGGGCTCCGAGGGGGGGCGGTGGCACCGCCCCCGCGGCGAGCGAGGGCACCCCCGAGCGGGGGCCTTCGAGGGGGGCTTTTCGAGGGGCGAAGGAGGAGGAGGAGGAGGAGGAGGAGGAGGAGGAGGAGGAGGAGGAGGAGGAGAGGAGGAGGAGGAGGCGAGGATGAGGATGAGGATGAGGATGATGATGATGGGAAGGGGGGGACTTTTCGAGGGGTGGGGCCTCTCGAGGGGGGGCTTCTCGAGGGGGGGGCTTCTCGAGGGGGGGCCGCCCTCTTGGGGGGAGCGCGAGGGGCCCCCGAGGGGAGCGGGGGGCCGGAGGGCGGCGCCGCACCGCCCGCCGCCGAGGAGGGGAGGCGCCGCGGCGGTGCGGCCGGCGGCGTTCTCCCCCCTTCTGGGTCGGAAACTGGAGCATATATCGGGTATAGGCAGTAGCGCCTGGCCCGCAGCGCCTGGCCCGGCCGGCTGGCCCTGCGCGTCCTCGGCACGCCGCAGCCCCTGGCCCGCAGCAGGGGAGGCGGAGGGGGAGGGCCCCGAGGCGAGCGAGCGAGGCCAGGCAGGCGCGCTCCACGACTCGCAGAGGAGCTACTCGCAGATGGTCTGGATCCGCCGCCAATGATTCACGAGGCATTACTGGTAAGGGGACCCGGTTAGTGGTAGGGCCCTGGTGCCCCTCGATTTGCCAGATTCACGAGACCAGATTTAGCGTAACTGGTGTTTTTCGGGCGACGGCAGTTCCGGTTAGTGGGAAGGGGACGGGGGGGGCGCCCCTTGTACACATCACTAAACCAGGTTCCACTAAACCCAGTTCTGCCAACGCCCGACTCTGGTCGGAAACTGGAGCATCTCGGGACGACCGACATGGGTACGGAGAGAATGGGCAGAAAGAACGACAGCGGTGCTGGATCATCTTGAACAGAATTCGCTGTCGGCGTCGCCGCGGATTGTGTCCTTTTGAAGCAGGAGGCCGCCTTCCAAACAGCGGCCGCTGTTGGTTCGGGACAACTTTTGCTGTTGGGCATTGTGCCCATTATTTCCGTACCCATCTCGGGCGTTCAATTCTATATATATATATACCATCTATATATATGTATGTATATATATATATATATATCACCAGTGGCGGGCTGTTTTTCGATCCCGGGAAGTTTTAAAAATCGGGGACGGCGTCGGGGTGGTGTGGTGGATACGTGTTTCCCCGCTTTCCCGGGGAAGCAGCGACAAATGTATTCACCAGGATGCCGTAGACACCATGATCCTTTTTTCATGTGCGAAGTTCAGTGCGGGACCGGTTCCTCCTCTAGGCTGAATGTGGGCATGTCCCTCAACAAGAGGAATATGTTCAAGAACAGTCAGAAAATTGTCAGGGGATTATTTTTGTTCCATATGTTTTACCAATTTGATGTATTTGTTTTGACTATGTTTCATCTCCCTTCCCAGAATCCGTCTGTAGGAGGACATACCCGACCTGACTCTACGTTGAAGGCGGGCATGTCCCTCCACTCGGGGGCAACGATAGGGGGGGACAGGCATACCCAGACCCCCTGGAGTCATACAAAAAGTCGTGATGGATGGTTTTTCGGCATGTTCGGCCCCTGGGGGCTCTCGCCGGCCCTCGGGACCGTCGAAAAAGGACTCCGGATGAGCAAATCGTGACGGGAGTTTTTTCACCATTTTCGGCCTTTGGGGGCCCTCGCCGGCCCTCGGGACAGTCGAGAAAGGACTCAAGATGCAACACTGGTCCCGGCGAAGGCATGAGCAAAATCATGACGTCGGGGGTATGGGTATGGTCTTAAGAGGGGGGTGATGACTAGGGGGGGGTGGATATCATGGCGGGGGCCAAGATATTTCCCCAAATTTCATGGTGCCTCTTCATATTTTATCATGTCCCTGGCCCCCCCCCTGGGCCGCGCACATGCCGCCGACCATGATTTGCACCCCTCCTCTTGGACGCCCCTCTCTTGGCCGCTCCCGATATGGGGGGATGCATCGACCCCTGATCACCCATGGATCGTCGATAGGGGCCCGACTGCCCAACCCCGCCCAGGAAGGTGCGGATTCTCTATCGGGGGCCTGTCGCCGATCTATCGACGATGTATATCCGATTCCAGGTTGACGCATTACCCCCTATGCCTATCCCCCTATCGTTGCTCCTCATCTACAGGAGGGATACATTTAATAATAGTTTAAACAATAATTTGGGGACGATTTGTCTTTACTACTTAGGTTTTTCTGGTTTTTTGACGCAGAAGCACGGGTCCAACTGGGCCGGCATTGGCGCGTAAGCTCCCCGCGTAAGGTCGCGCGCAAGCGCCCTCGCATCCAATGTGGCGTGCCGCGCCAGCGGCCCGCGTAAGCCGCGGCGAAAGGTCGCCGCGTCGTCTCGCGCAAGAACCGTTCTTGATCGTCGCTCCTGCGGGAGGCCTGGGGCCGCTCGGACACCGCCTCGACCGCTGCCTCGGAGGCGCGCCCTCCCCGAGATTCCGCCCCGGGAGAGGGTTCCCCGCAGCTCCTCGCGTCATGACGCATGCGCGGCGGGCGGGGCTTTGGTTCGTTTTGGGGGGGCCTCCGTGGGCCCTCTCGGGGCCGTCGAGCCACGATTCCGGGATGGAGGGCCGAACCCGGGGGAGAGCGCCAGAGCTCGGGGACCCAAGTTGCGAACCATGCACGCACACACACACAGACGTAGACACAGACATAGACATAGACACAGACACAGACGCAGACACACACACACACACCTACACACCTACACACACACACACACCGCACGCGCACGCGCACGCGCTCGGACGCTCAGACGCTCAGACGCTCAGACACTCACGCACACACGCACACACATGCACACGCACACACGCACACACGCACACACGCACACACGCACACACGCACACGCACACGCGCACACACGCGCACACACGCGCACACACACGCACACGCACACGCACACGCGCACACACGCACACACACACACGCACTTACACGCACTTGCACACAGCGCACACACGCGCACACACACGCACACACTTACACACACACACACTTACACACTCACACACACTTACACACCCGCATACACCCGCACACGCCCACACACACGCGCACACACGCGCACACACAGACACAGACACATTGACACACAAACACGCAAATACGCATACGCACACGCCCACGCACACGCACACGCCCACGCACACGCACACGCACACGCACACGCACACGCACACGCACACGCACACGCACACGCACACGCACACGCACACGCACACAACACACACACCACACAACACACACACACCACACACACACACACACACACACACACACACACCACACACACACCACCACACACACACACACACACTACACACACACCCACCACACACACACACACAACAAACACACACACACACACGCACACACACGCACACGCCACAACACGCGCACACGCGCACACGCACACGCGCACACGCGCACACGCGCACACGCGCACACGCGCACGCGCACACGCGCACACGCGCACACGCGCACACGCGCACACGCGCACACGCGCACACGCGCACACGCGCACACGCGCACACGCGCACACGCGCACACGCGCACACGCGCACACGCGCACACGCACACGCACACGCACACGCACACGCACACGCACACGCACACGCACACGCGCACACGCGCACACGCGCACGCACACGCGCACACGCGCACACGCGCACACGCGCACACGCGCACACGCGCACGCACACGCACACGCACACGCACACGCACACGCACACGCACACGCACACGCACACGCACACGCACACTCACACTCACACTCACACTCACACTCACACACAACACAACACAACACAACACAACACACCGCAACACAACACAACACAACACACACACTGTTTTTAATGCGTCGGCGGCTGGGCAGAGGTCGACTGCTCTGGCGGAAGGGCAACTAGGGACACGCTGCATGCAAGTCAAAGGCGCAAAGCACGGGAGGAGGAAGAGCCCCGGCGCGACGAGGGGAGAGGAAGCCGGGCCACTCAGAGCTGCCGGCAGCGGCAGGGGGCAGCGCCGTGGGGGGAGCAGCGCCGGCACAGGCTGTACTGAACCGCACTGAGCTGATGCTGGGGGGGGGACAGCCAGGAGCTGCAGCAGGCGGTGTAGAGCAAACGAAGCGGATCCCAACACGGGCCCGAGCACAGCCCAGGGAGGGCCGGGCTGGACGAAAGGGGGGGATGGGGAAAGGGGGGGTTGCGGAATCTGCTGCATGCAGCTGGTTTCGGCCCCACCGAGGGGCCCATTCCTCGATGCACAGCCGCCTCCGGCGCCGGGAGGCGCCAGGAAAATCAGCTACGCGAGCTGATTCTCCCCCCCTTCCGCCCGGCCCGAGAGGGGCGGGAGCACCGAGACCTGCGGGCCTGCGAGGTGCGTGCCAGGAGAGGGGAGGCCAAGTGCTCCAACCCCAGGAGCAGGCGCTGCGCCGCGGGCACGAGGGGGCGGGTCCGTGGCGGCACAGAGCGCGGGGAGGCCGAAGCCGAGGGCGAGCCCGGAGTCGGGCAGAGAGAGGCACACCGGGGGGCGGCGCGCGACCCGGCGGACCGAGACCGGGCCCGGAGAGAGCGCGACGCGCCGAGGCCGGCGGGCCCGCGAGGCGCAACCGTATGGGGGAGGCGGCCGGGGAGGCGCCGCCCAGGAAGGGCAGACTAGATACAGCGGCGGGAGAGGGCGGCAGGAGGGCGGAGGAGGCGGGCGGCCAGGTCCTCGACCTGCGCCAACGGGGGGGGGACCCCGACATTGGCCACGGCAGGGGGGCGCCGAG